ATGTAAGATTCAGTAGAGCATCTTAACATAATTAAACAGTTAATTTATCAGTCTGAACATCGTCAATAGTAATTGTTTATATTATTTTCAGTTTGATCAGACATCAGCACTGCCATTCAGTTTCAGTTTCAGCAGTTCAGGTGGGGACTCAGACTAAGTACTACATTGTTTATAATTACGCTACCATGTTCGAGGTATGTATATTCAGTATCCGCTCGGAATGGTCGCCGGTTCATTCCGAGTTCTAGTGGCCTAATCTAACCACTAGAGTGTGCACATGGTCCGGTATTAGTTTGTGCCGGGAGATTGAGGTATTAGTTTGTGCCGACAGATTTCAGTTATCAGTTACGTGACTTATGTCGCGAGATCAGACCGGTATCAGATATCAGTTTCAGTTTCAGTTCAGTTATATATGCTTAGTTCATGATATTGTTATTATTTACAATGTTTTACATTAGTATGAGTTTCTGCTGAGCACAAGTGTTTTAGTGCTCACGCCCCACATTTTTCATGTTTTTCAGGTCGTAGGGTCGGAGACGAGGAGTGAGCGGGCGGGCGGTTCAGGACATTTGTGTTTATATGTATATATGTTTTTGCCACGCTGGATTTCTGCTAATACTTTCAGTACTTATTATCAGTTTTTGTTCCGATGTTAGTCGGATAAGACGTTTAAACGGTTTTCAGAAAAATTAAGTTTTTCACAGTAGCATCCCGAATCAGTTTTCGCAAAATAAGTATTTTAATTATTTATTCAGAAAATTGCGAAAAATAGCGTACTCTGATATAGTAAAAAGTCGGGGTGTTACAATTGGTATCAGAGCACGTTTCTGCGTCTCTGAAAAGTTTTTCAGTCAGTAATTTTCAGAAAAACCTGAACCGTCACGCTCACGCCTAGCCGACGACAGGTAAGTGCTGATTCAGTTTTTCAGTTATAAACCTATTACTTTGTCTATGCTCAGAATTAAGGATCAGGACTTTAGTTAAGATGCTCGAATCAGGTTCAGACTTTAGAGTTCGTACATGACTTTAGAATTCAGGGCATTCAGATATGACTCTAGACATTAGGATTTTCCTATATGACTCTAGAGTTCTTCAGGATTCACGTCAGTATTTATCGGCCACTTCTGGCTACTCGTCAAGAGATTTGTGTGCCTTAGTAATCAGTCAGAATGTTACCACGTATTCAGTAATGTTAAAATTTCGTAATGTTCAGATGCCGCTATGTAGGGAACCCGATCATCAGGCTCCTACTCAGGCCATCGTAGTCGCACAGTTCTGCGACTATCATGTTGAGAAATTCTCCGGGTAGGGAGATCCCCGTATCATGGGCGGGTGGATTCAGAACCTTAGAAAGGGATTAAGTTTAAGAACTCTAGATTCAATTCTAGATTTATTCAAGTCAAGTTAGCAACTTATCAGAAGATTTGTAAGCATTTGTGCTAAACAAATCTTAAGAATCATGTTTCTCAGA